CAGGGACAGGAGGCTGGGGACCGGGAGCCAGCACTCCGGGCCCGCAGGGCGGGGATCCCACAGACCAGAAGCCCCACCCGCTGCTCAGGGGCCTGGGGATGGCTCCCCACGTGGACGCAGGGACTGGACAGAGGAGAGCAGGTCTGAATGGGCTTGGAGACCTCAAAACAGCTGCTGTCGTCACTCCCTGCTTCACGGCGGGGAGGCGGGGGACCCCAGTTCTCAGGGAGCAGACAGCCCCTCCCCCAGCTCTGGAGGCCCCGCCCGCCCGCCGTCCATCCAAGGTGCTTCCAGGCGGAGGCGGCTGTGGCCACGGCCTCCTGTGTGACAGGACCAGGCGGGGAGGGCTGTGACCCTGAGAGCAGCAGCCTCCGCCCGGGGGTTGGGGGGGGCGCTGTGCGTTCTGTGGTCAGGTCCAGGGGTCCCCCACCGTGGCCCAGCTGGCACCGCTCCCTGTGGGCACTCGGCCCATTGGCCTCAGAGCCGCTTGGGGAAGGGCACATGGCCGCACTCTAAGGAGGGCAGCGGTTGCTCGTGTCCTCGGGGCGGCTCTGGCCTGGGGACCGCCTGGTCCTCCCTCCCGGTGCGAGGCGGCACCCGGTCCCCAGGCCACACCTGCCTCACAGCCTCTCGGCTCAGGTGTGTGTCAGGTGCACGGCAGGCCCCGCCCGGCCCCGGCCTCTGAGAAGCTGGCATTTGACCCACGAAATGTACTGAGTGAGAGGAAGGTCACAGAGGGCACAGGCCACCTCCCTCCTGGTGGCCAAGTCCCTGCCCCCGCGTCCCCGGACCTTCCCATCTCTGAGCCCCTTCCCTGAACGTGGCCTCCTTCTTTCCAGGGGTCTTTCCTCCACATGAGCTGTGAGGCCCCTTTTCTGGTCCCGGGGCACCTCCCAGAGCAGGTCCCCCCAGGTCGGCACAGGGGGGGCACCGAGAGGGTGGCCAGTGTGGCCGGCCCCTCCTTCCAAACAGGCAGGGGGACCACGGGGAGGGTGCGCCAGGGAGGGACCCCGCTGCCGGGAGGTGCTCAGGAAATGTCTGGGAAGAGGTGGGGGTCTGTTCCCCCCTCACCTGCCCCCCTCGCCCCACCCCTCCCTGTGCTGTCTCCCCAGTTACGGCCGAGTCTACACAGCTGCCGACCCCTACCACCACCCCATCGGCCCCACGGCCGCCTACAGCATCGGGACCATGGTAAGGAGTGGGGCGGGCCGGCCTTGGCGCGGCCGTGCGAGGAGGGGGGAGGGGACGCAGGCAGGTCCTGGGGAGACCCACCCAGAACACAGGCCAGGGCCTCGGGCCTGGTGGCGGGGAGGACCGAGGCCTGCCTTTGAGTTGGGGGTGGGGACCGGCCCTTCGTGCCCTCGTGGAGTGAGGAGGAGGTGGGTGTGCCCTGCCGGCCAGCTGCCCGGGGACGACATCCGGCCCCTGACCGTCCTGGCGCGACCCTGGAGCCCAGCCGGGCCTCCCTTCCCACAGGAAACCCACCAGCCCTCCCCGCAGCTGCTCCAGAGGCAGGCAGGGCCCCCTCGTGTGGGTGTGTTCGTGCCGTGGTCCTGTCCTGCCCCCCTGCTGTGCCTTCCCTCGCGTGGATGGGGAACAGGGCTGCCCTCTGTCTCGTCCCCACCCGGCTCCTGCCTGGAGGCCCTCCCTGGGGACGGGCGCACCCCTGAGAGCCAGTGTGTGTGTGTGTGTGTGTGTGTCTGTGTGTGCGCCTGCTGTCAGCACATGGAGCCCGGGCCGCTCTGCCCCAAGCCTGCTCCCGTGGACACCTGCCCCTGACCGCCCCCCCAGGCTGTCCCCGGCAGGGCATTAGCTAGCGGAGTCCAGCATCAAAGATGAAAACGCCTGGGGGTGAGTGGGGGGCGCGGCGCCATGGGGTGTCTTCACCTCCTTTGGTTTTGATGACGCCCTCCCGGGTTTTGTTCTGCGTTTTTTGATCTTTAACGAGCCTCAGACACGCCAGCAGGCGCGGGGAGTGCTGGCAGCCGGGGGAGCAGCCCTTGGGAGGCCCCCGCTCCCGGATGGAGCCCTGCGCTGGGCGCCCAGCCCCTCGGCTCCGGGATCAGCTCAGCCCTCCGCACAGCTGCTCGCTAAAGGCCCCCGTGAGCTCTCCGAGGCCCCATTTAGGTTTTCTTTTTAAGGTTTTTCTATTTTTCCCCCAACTTTTCTGGCCCTTGCTGTTCTCTTGCCTTTTCTGACAAAACTGGTGGGTGGGGTGGGAGGTTCCTGTAGAGGCCTCCCTGGCCCCGGAGCTGAGCCCGGGACAGCAAGAATGTCAGAGAAGCCAAGGCCGGGGAACCCTGACAGGGTCCACCCCCCACCCCCCGCCATGTCTGGATAACTCAGACCCCACAGCAGTCCTGGGGCGCCAGGAGTAGGGCTCCTGCTCAGACCTCCCGAACGAAGGAGAAGGGGCAACAAAGGGCCAGGCTCTAGCCAGAGTCCCCAGGACACACTCACACCTTCTTACCTGGGAGCCTGTGGCTGCAGATGCTCCCCCCGCCCCCGCCCCCCAGCCAGAGACGAGACCACCCGGCACCAGAAACAGGCCCAGGCCCCAGGCCTCCCCCACCCCACCTGCCCGCGGCCAGAACAGCCACACCCACCCTCCCCCAGGCAAACCGCGAGGGGGGCAGAAAACGGGGGTTCACTATTTCTCCTTTGGTTCTTCCTTCTTATTTTTTTCTTTTTGCTTTTCCGCCCCCTCCGGGAAGGCGGTACTGATTGGCTGTTTTCCATCTTTGATGTTGCAGGCTAGCCTCTGCCGCGGAGGGCACAGCCGCTTCACCCCCTACTAGCAAGAGGCCCGCCCCTAGCAGCAGTCAGACTGTAGCACACACCACACCCCGCAGCCCAGGCCAGGCCCGGCCACAGGACAGTGCGCCCTCCCGGCCAGCGGCTCGCTGCCTGGCCCCCACGATGGCGTGTGTGTCTGACCCTGGTTTCCCCCGTGTGTCTGAGACCTTGGTTCCGATTCTGACTCTGTTGTGTTCCCCACCCCTGAGCCGTTTCAGGTACAGTACGCAGAGGGGCGGGGCTGAGCTGGGCAGAGGACCCTCCCGAGCTAGCAATAGAGCCACGCCCCCCAGGGCGGCCCACGCCCGTGCAGGGGTGTAAGAGCCACGGAAGATGCCGGGCTCAGGAGGCCAGCCCGGGCCACCGTCCTTGTCCCCCCCTGGGGTGTGGGCAGGACAGTGCCCCCTCCACCAGCTGAGACTCAGCGCTGATCACGTTGTACGGGCAGTGCCTGCTGCCCGCAGGGCCACACCAGCCTCAGGGGCGCCTTAGCCTCTGACGTCAGAAACCAAAGCGAAGGAAGAAATTCCCCACCGGGAGGCCCGGCGGCCCACGGCTGTGCCC